TTACATCAGTCTCTTCCACAGCTAAGTACACCGCCTCCTCCTAAGAATCTTACTCTTGTCAAGAAATACAGCTCTCCTTAATGACAGTGAGGTATTCAAATGTCAGACTTGCATACAGTATGATAAATAGTCTCTTTATTAACAGGTACACATCGCTCTATAATAAGTACCCGCTTCTACAGCACAGAAACACCTACAAATAAAAATCCCACACTTCATTTTAGAAGAAGAAACTTGCAGCATTACCCTGAAACATGATAATCATATTGTAACTATGCCAGTAAAGCTCAAAAAGCTTTAAAAAAAAAAAAAAAACAAAACCCAAACCAACTACCAAGAAAAATACAAGTTGTTTTATTCACTGACCAACTAAGCACACCCTTTGGGCACTCAACAGTATTCTTTGTTCCCATTATTGTGGACATATACTGGGAAACAACGAACATGCAAACCACATTTATCTACAACATTATATCACAAATTTAGGCCACAATCTTAAACCTTAAGTGTCTGCACCCAGACATCGATTTAATTACTAACAATCGATGGGGGAAATACTGCTAACAGTCAGGAAATTAAGCATGTGCTTAAGTGCCTGCAAGACCACAGTCTTGGGTATTATACAAAACATTAGAATACATTTAATTTGTTTTTGATGGATGCTTTATTGAGCTGTTGTCATCCTTAGTAAGGGACAGTCTGTAACGATTATGAAAAGAGAATAATTCTGTAGTGTTTTACAATAATTCATTGATTATGAGTGATTGATAAGGCTTGCTTAACAAGATTTTGATTAACTCCTCTCCACATTTCTCCCCCCTCCCCAGTAATTTGAATTAAAGGGGAAAAAAGGAACCATTCGAAAGAGGAACCATTACAAGCACAGGCACATCTCCATCTTCTTGGGGGAAGGGAAAGTGGGCTGGGAAGGGAAAGGATGAGAAAGGAGAGGGCAGCCAAGCAGAAGGATGACATATGAAGTGTATGTACATTGTTGAACGGCTCTATGATTTCTCTCGTGAATATTATCTCCACTTACAGCAGAGCAATAAATCCCAAACAAACACTATTTAGGCTTACCGTTAATAATACATGATAGTAACAGGCATTATAGTAGCTGAGGCTGTAAATATGCCCAAAACATGCATCAGAAAACCTCTGTAAAACTCGTTAGAAGTGACATATTGAGAAGTCCAAACTTCCAGGTAAGTCAAAATACCTAAGCAGTCCTCACTTTGCCGTTAAGTGACACCACATCACTATCACTACATTTTAACATGATCTCAAAAGCTGATTAGGTCTATTTTTAGACGCGGTTGTTTGTTTACGTTTTCCAACCCCAAATTTCCTTTCCTTACCGCATCATTTCCTGGCTGGGGCACGTTTGTTTTTAAGATGCTTATTCCATCTGTCCCACGTCTTTTGCTTTAGAATCGCTGGAACAGCCACGCTGGGTGCCAGCTCTCGGCTCAGGTGGCCGCTCGCCTGGGGATCCTGTGCTGTTATACCACACTGAGCTATTGTTCGACGTTGGTAACGGGTGAAACCCGAAGTGTAACACGGGGTTACAAACAGGTAAACAGCTCGAGATTTCACCCTCTGCTCATCAAGACGTTGCAGTTTTGAGGGCGCAGACCCGCCGGGCCCTCGGATAAAGGGGAGGCCGAGGTTAAAGCCGAGCCGGTGCTGGGGGGGCCCGGAGCGGCGGCACCCCCGAAATGCTCCTACCTGCGCTTCTCCGCCGCCGCCGCGCAGCGGGCTCCAGCTTTTCTCGGATTTACTAGGATTTACGAATTTGCTAGAAAATTCTGAGGAAAACCTGTCGCCCGGTGCCAGCCCGGGCTTTCCCCGAGCTCCC